TTGATGGGATCATCTTTGCTGCTAACTACCTTGGCTGCACTCAGGTGTTGTCTGATAAAAATCCCTCCAAGTCTGTACGCATGTCCCAGGCCCATGAAGCCGTCAGTCGTATCAAGGTAATCTGCATCTTCAAGAAGGCAGCAGTTTGGTTTATAAATATTCAAATCTGCCAAAGATGTTACTGTATGCTTTCTGTTATGTTTCTATGTCTATGAACAGATTTCAAAGAACAGATTGGCCTTGTGTCTGGGAGAAATTAATTAGAATTTGATTGCGATCTGGATCTGGGATTTTTGCCATTAGACAAGATGCCTTTTAGGCTTTCGCCATTAAACTAACAGAGATACAGACTTGGTACCAAATCCTAAGGGTGCGTTTGCAGGTTTAAGAATCGAAATTGATGTTTCCGAGTATAACAGCAAGGTCCTTGTTCAGCACTGGCAGAGGGTTGTGCTGCCAACGTGCCTTTTACTTTGTATTTCAATGAATTAATAGAATTTTTAAGTGTATACGTACCTGTATTGCCAGCTGACTTATTCAAGGGTAAGCCAAGCAGTAGAGTCATTTTCTTACCACATGGTGGAGCTGTTGTATGCCTTTTTTGCTCACCTGCTCATGCTGAAAGTTGCATAGTCAGATTAAATTACAGAAATATACAAGGTTTGATTCAAACAATATGTCATTTATTTCAAAGAGCCAAGATGAAGACTCTCAATTGATGACAGAAGTGGACCTGTTTATCTCCACTAAAGCTGTCAAAGTGCTGAATGCTGACACACAGGTTAGTAACTCCGAGATATTTGTGTGTTGATTCAGGTTCCTTTCTGTGTCTAATCTTTGTAGCAAATCTATTTTCAGACATGATGAGTCTTGATTGTCATTCTTTTTGCTCCACGTAGGAGACAATGATGGACAGTGCCTTGCGTACCATCTCCTATATCGCCGACATTGGCAGTATTGTGGTTCTAATGGCACGGAGGCGCATGTCTCAGGCCTCATCAGAGGATTTCTCCGAATCTCCCGACTCTGCCAGTGAAGGGAAGAGTCAGTACAGGATGATCTGCTACGTCTTTGAGTCAGAGGATGTAAGTGTTTACTGCTCAACTGCACATACATTTTTAATTTTGTTTTAGATATTTGTTGCATGCTCACTTAAACTGTTGTGATCTTTCTCACCTCCTTGCTGTTGTCAACTGGGATAGCCTTTCTGCTGAGTAGTTTTCCCCAAACGCTCCCCTTCCCACAGGCACAGCTCATCGCACAGTCCATCGGTCAGGCTTTTAGCGTGGCCTACAGAGAATTCCTGCGAGCCAATGGCATCAACCCGACCGACCTGAGCCAGAAACAATACAGTGACATCATCAACTCCCAGGAAATGTACCACGATGACCTCGTTCATTTCTCAAACTCAGACAACTGTAAAGAGGTGTGACATTTTTTATATGGCTGCAGGTGAATTGTGGATGATGAATGATAGATTCCCTTTAACATAAATGGCTCTAACAGAATCTCAAAAATCTTCTAAAGTCTGGCAATTCAGAAATGTGCTTGAAAAGGATTAATAAAAGCTTTTTCCTGCGTTCCAGCTGTATGTGGAGAAGCAGAAAGGGGAGAGCCTCGGTGTGGTGATCGTGGAGTCTGGTTGGGGCTCCATTCTGCCCACCGTCATCCTGGCCAGTATGCTGAACAGCGGCCCTGCAGCTCGCTCTGGAAAACTCAGTGTTGGGGATCAGATCATGTCCATCAATGACACCAGCCTGGTGGGGCTGCCACTTGCCACCTGCCAGGGCATCATCAAGGTACAGAGCGTATCAGGCACTGAAATATGTGGAAATATGTGAATCAGGAAACGGCATAATGGCTCAGTAGTTGGCACTGTAACTTCACAACAAAAAAGTGTTTCTCCATTTCTTTGTGGGCTTCTGGCCACACGGTTAGCTGAACTTGGGACTCCAAATGGCTTGTAGAGAAACTTGATAAATATTTGATCATCAAACCATCATCCTAAGTGAGTTATTCCATACTCACAATTGTGCAATAACACACTGGAACACCACATAAAATCTCAAAACCTCAAAGGATAAAGCTGTCATTATTCTCTCACGTTTTTGCTCCCCCAGCCATTCTGTGGCCCTTAGCCCCAAAACAATTGGTTCATACTGAAGAAGGCAAAATCATTCCCTAGTTGTTAGCAAACGTTACTCAAACTGGAGTGAATTTTAGTATTTTTAGTCATGGATTCGGTGCACTAGCAAGTATTTAGCAAGGCGATGTATGTGTGATCAGATCTAAAGATACTGCAGCTTTTTTTTGGACAGCAATGAAGCTTTATGGCACAGAGGAATAAACATTTATTGTACATATACAGTACATACGATACATTCATTGTTGGTTACGGTCTTGACAATAATAAAAAATATCACCAGACTTATACTTTAGAATGACTGAAACATTAATGTGTTTTTATGTTTCGTCCAGGGTCTAAAGAATCAAGTGAAGGTAAAGCTAAGTATTGTGAGCTGCCCTCCTGTTACCACTGTCCTCATCAAGAGACCCGATCTCAAGTTCCAGCTTGGTTTCAGTGTGCAGAATGGCATTGTGAGTAAGCCCTTGTTAGTATGAAGCATGACACTAAACTTTAGATTGAGGCTCAGAAGGAATGGTTGGCAATGAGCAAGGGTTGTGCTAAATACTGTGCAGTTACACACAAAGCGTCTTTTTCACATCCTCAGATCTGCAGTCTGATGCGAGGTGGCATAGCTGAGCGAGGCGGTGTTCGTGTTGGACACAGAATCATTGAAATAAATGGTCAGAGTGTTGTTGCCATGGCACACGAGAAGATAGTTCAAACCCTGTCTGTCTCAGTGGGTGAGGTAAGAACTCCTCATGCCACAAGATGGCAATTTTCCCTGATTACTGCACCACACAAATAACTGTACCATACAGGCCTTTTAAAGACATACGTTGGAGAGTGGTTTCAGGCTTAGATCATTGGATACGTGCAGCACTTACAGCACACATTTAATTAATAAAAGTCCTTGGTAAAAAAGGCACTGTTAAATATATAAATGTTTATGCAAAAGCTAATAAAATTTAGTGTAAGTAGCACAACAGATAAAGGATGATTGACTTTAGTAAACAAATGTATTTCCTTTTAAGTGCTACTGCATATCCATATCTGCACCAAAATAGTTTGACATTTGGTCAAATAGTCTGACAAGATACAACGTGTTAATTACTGAACTTAGGGGTGCTGGTAAGCTCTTTTTGCTACCATTGGACAGAGCCAAGCTAGCTGTTTGTCCCTGTTTCTGGTATTTATGCTAAGCTAAGCTAATGATCAGGTAAGTTTTCTTTATCAACCATTCTTGGTCTGTACTTGTGTGTTCTCCCAATTTCACCCAGTATATATCTCCATTAAAGCCATAAAAGTGTATTATTTGTGAGTAATGGATTCAGGGTCTCTTCTGTCCCTCTGGTGGCACAGACGGGAGTAAATTAGGCCTGATTCAAGTGATGTAATTACGACTGTGCCTCTATAAATGGGCTCTTAACTTGACAGTGTAATCGTCCCCGCTGCTCTCGTCTCTGCCTCTCTGCCAGATCAACATGAAGACGATGCCTGCTGTGATGTTCAGACTGCTGACAGGACAGGAGACGCCTATCTACATATAGAGACCCTGCATGGTTCAGCCCACTGTAGTTCTGCATGTCTGGCTGTGAGGAGGTGATGGACAGATGATGGACAGGTGGCTCAGTGGGACGAGGAGAATTTATTTTTCTATCATTTTATTTTTTCGGCCTCTTGTTGCAATGCTGTAAAGAACATCCAGTTCTCATTTTCAGGTTTTATCTTGAATTACATTGTCATAATGGCCTTACAATGTGAATACCCTGTCTGTAGTACTGTACGTGAGTTTCTGGTGTTGAAGAGAAGTAGCTTTAAGGTCATGATTATTTTCTTATGAAGAGATAAATTAGTACATTTATTTTTTATTTAGTCATTTTTATAATGTGTATGGAGTTTAAAAATGTACTTCTACTGTAAATACTTTGGATTACTCAAGGACTTGGTTGGGAAGGCCATATTACTCCTACAGTATATGCATGTTATTATGAGGAATTACTGACCAGGGATTAATTCTCAATTTGACATGATAATCTATTACAGTAAGTATTAAAAAACAATAATAATATGCTGTACAAAGGCACTAAACTATATATGTATTATGGTGACGCTGAAGGCCAAAGATACATCTACTTTTCAAAGACATACAGTATGGGTGATCATTACCAGAGCGTACAGTACAAGAATGTATCAAAATATACATTACTGAATGAATGTAATGTTATAACACAGTAAGAATACAATCTCACGGCTGAATGCTTGCTGTTGTTTGTTTTTATTTTATTAAGGTGTTACTGCAAACAAAAGTACTTACAACCAGACATGAAGTTAATTTGCCTGGATTAGAGATAAATCAATTATCCAAGCAGTTTGGTATTCGTTATTTCTCTCATGTTTTCACATTTATTTGGATCTCAGAAGCTGTGAAAGAAGGATACTTCAACCAACGACACAGCTCAGAAACTGTGCACAAGTTAAACCCCGTGTTGTTGCCATGGCAGCGTGCATGCATTGCATCAAGGATCAAAGTAATTGATATCAAACTAACAATTGTTTGTTTCATCTTTCATTTCTAAAGAAGAAATAGTTAAACAATGACAGAGCTATAAACCATATTGATCAGTGTATATACACATTGTATGGATCCCATACAACTTTATATATTGTACTTACAACTACTGCAGAGTGACAATGAACTTAAAAAATACAACTATGTACAGTTAAATCATTTATAACACAGAACACTTAAAAGGCTCACATATAAACTTAAAACAGGTGTGAAATTGGACACTCCATCTGTAACACATTCAGCAAAAAAAATAATCTTCAAGTATTGTTCTGGAAAAGCTCCCTGAGGGAAACCAGGACAGCTTCATATATGTTCCTAAAACACACAAACAAAATCATCACAGTTAATAAGCTGCAAAGGCAGAAATAACTTCCTTATGTGTCATATGAACAGAAAAGTGCAGCACTCAGGATTCATGATGTACATGCTGTGATTCATTTTATTTTAATCTTGCATCTCTTATTAATACTGCAGTAGTCTCATTTTTCAAATGTCCCAAAGTAGAACTGAATATGTGTTTTGCAACAATAAATGTATATCAAAGTCAGGTTTTCCAACAAATTTATAAAAGGACGCTGCTTAAAAATGAATGACTAATCCATTTATAAGCAGCAGTGACTGCCAAAAGAAAGTGCTGTATTACCCTCTCAGTGTCACCAACTTACCGCCTTGACTGTTGATGTCAGTGGTGAAATTGTCACTCCATCAAGGAATACTGTATTCAGGTAGCCCTCCCCGTAAGAAACGTCCTCATCTTCATAACTGTCGACACCAACACTGAAAGCCTCTTTCATCTTCTCTGGCATCATAAAGTTAAACATCACCACCAGAATCCCAATGATGGTACACAGCACACCTGGAAATCATGTTTAGTTAGTAGAAATCACTCCCCTTTATTAGCTGGCTGGCTCTGAATGCCAGTTTAAAGCACAAAACATATGAAATGAAAGTGCAGTTCTAAAGATAAGTTCTTATTTTTACCTGTAGCCAGAGCCAGCCAGAATGAATGGCTGTACTGGGTTTCAAAGGAGTCCGTTCCAATGGAGAAAACACACTGTGGCACGTTCATGATGGTGGAGAAGGAGGCCATAGAGAAGAAGATAAAGGCAGCGGTGGCCAGCAACATGTAGCCGGCGTACAGAATGACCGGCATGGAGAAGAGGATATTGGCGAGCAACCAGCAGCAAAACGCCGTCCTGTAAAAGAGTGCAGCCATTTTAACTTCCGATATTCTTAACAACTATGTACAGAAATCCATTGTACATCAATACAACTTCAAAATGTAAGAGGTTATTTATCGTTTTACCAGAGGGTTGCAGAGGCGTATCGTCCAGAGTATCTGTACTGAAAGATGAGTCCACATGGGCTGCTCATGGTGAATTTCTCAGCGATGTAAAGGATGGGGTTGGGTAAACCTTTCTCCAGAGCTTCCTCATACTCTTCTTCAATAGTGTCATGCCAGCTGAACATCTCATTGTAGTCAATAGTCTCATTTAACTGTACGACAGGTTTCCCTAGAAGAGAAAAGAGGAGCAAATTCATGTGAATCCACTGTGAAAGATGCATCTAAAATTCATGTTTACAACATTAAAACCGCCAGTATGAGCACATGACATTTGGACATAACAGCAGCAACAGTGACTCACCCTTTAGTGTGACATTAATGCCATACAGTCCGACATGCAAACCGATCTCGGCGTTAACCACTGCATTGCTGAAAGACTTGTAGGTGGTATTAGTGGTCATTCTGGCCTCAGCCCAGTCGTTAGTAAAGTTCAGCGCTGCGCAGAAAGGACACAAAGGTGAATGACTGGAGCAGGAAATGGAAAATCTGTGATTTATTCAACGATAAGAAAACAAAACTCACCCACTATCACCACACCTATGAACAAGCTGATAATTATTCTAAACATCCAGAACAGCCTCTGGCAGAAAGAGAAAGAGCATTATCAAAATTATACAAGACAGTTCTGAGGTTTTGTGATACCACTGCAGTGAGTAATAGCTTATCGGATGGGTTGCACTCACCGACTTCCCTCGTATCCCTGGCAGAATGAGAAGAAGACTGACTGCTAGCACAAGGAAGACCAGAATAATGGTGAGCAAGCCGCCACTGAAGATGAAGGAGGTCCTTTGTAGAGGGTAGAATGGGTAAATGTCATCGTAGAAAGTCATCTTAGCTCCTGATCTTACGGACGCAGCTGAGACTAGACAGTGCAACAGAGAAGACAGTGTTAGTGGCGGGGTTCTCAGTTTCCTCCTGATGCAGAGATAGCAGCTCTTGTTCCTTACAGATGATAAGGGATGGGACATTATTACTGCCGTGTAACATGCCACGATTAAGCACAAACATGTCTGACTCGTGTTATATCGTTTAACATTCCTTGGCACTGTGTCTCTGTACTGCAAATAAATAAAATGTGTCTGTATAATGCACAAAGGTGTGCAATTCTATACATCCACATGACCACTTGAGTCAGTTTAATGTAAATAGGTGCTCTTGACTTGGTTCCATGCTGATTTTAATGCATTAATTTGAACCTAAATGTAAAGAAAATTCTCCCCCCAAAAAAAAAGAGAAGAGGTAAAATCCAAAAGATCTCTCTTACCCAAAGGTTGAATGACGTGGAGTGAAGAAGAAGAGAGTGAAGTGTGAATGTTGAAGGGAACATACACTTCTTTTATACCACCGGTCCCCTTTGTGTCAATGAGGAGGAGGATGCATTGACTGGAAAGCTGAGGAAAAGAGGTGTGATTCAGAGATGATGACCATTCCCATTTGGGCAACACAGGTCACATGCAGTTTGTGATAAGCTGTGCAACACATGTTGGCTTTAGTATTGCACCATCCCTCCCCTGCACCTGTGCACCACTCCTGCACCACTTCTGCACTACACTTCAGCCTCTAAAGGTAGGTAAGACTCAACTCATTCATCTTCTCTTATAAAGTAATTAAACGATAATGAAAACAGGGCATTGCCTTCGGATGTATGCAGTCTGCGCACATGACCAAAAGGAACAGTGCCAACGTTGTATAAAGTTTTGCTGTTAACTCAAGCAGACAAAGGGCGTCAGCTGTAGAATTAGACTTCCTGGATTTTCTTTGTAATCTCTAAACCAACAAATGCAATGCAATACAATATTACAATAGAAATAGTAATTAATAAACGCCAGTTACCTGCGCCTTGTCTTTTCAGAAGTGCTTCACTCCTCTTGGCTGAAGACTGAGCTGAGGAACATCTCTCGCATCAATGGATTTGCGTAAATGGGTTTGGAGTATCTGTGCAGCGGTTGGCTTGGTGCTCTGTGTCACTGAACGTGAGTAGACAACAATTGTACTTCATGTTCAGAGTCATTTAACTCACTTAAAGTTAGAAATGCACAGTAAGGAACGGTGTATAAAGCTGGGGATGTCTTGAACAGGTTCAAGCTGTGAAATAGCCTGGGAGGTTCCTCGCTTTGACGGCTGGTACAACAGTTTGGGATATCCCAGGCGCGGAGCTGTCGGTAAGTCACATAGTTGCCAAAGTGTGCAGCAGCAGCAGCAGAAGTGGCTCAGCCTGCCAACACACCTGATCACCGGACTGTGTTTGTGCCCGCGCAGGTTCTCACCTTGTGCGCCTCGTGCCCGCGCATTACTGGGACGGAGTCTACCAGCCGGTCCAGGAGCCGCTGCGGCCAAACCCCCGCAGACTGAGCAGCCTGTTGGCCGGAGGACCCTCCGGTGTGCCCTCAACACGTAACCAGACCGTGCTCTCTCTGTTCTTTGGTAAATATAAAATGCATCCTGTCAATGCATCAAAAAATATTTCTTCAGTTGGAAAACCTGAGATAAAAAATTACCCAAACTGAACTTTTGTTCTGAGGATGTACCAATGTGGCGCCTTGATATTTTCCCCACCCTTAAATGACCGAAGTGCAACACTGGTGTAATATGTTAAAGTAGTAGGCTACCTAAACTGCTGCTTGTGTGAAAGTTGAATCAAGAAATAAGAAGCAGCCTAATGTTGTCATTAAAGATGATATTGAGAAAGATGTTGCTGATATTGGCCTGATACTATTCCAATAATATGCTATTTGCACCAAAAACAGCAGCAACAACAAAAAAACTTAAATTCAGGTAAATGTTTCTGCAGTAAAAACTTCAATGTTTTTTACTTCTCAGGGTATCATGTTGCTTTTGAAATATTTGACTCAAGAACTCCTGGGTGTCCACCTGAGTTCATGAACATCCAAGTCCCAAAAGGGGACCCTGTATTTGACCCTACTGCCACCGGGAATGTCCTGCTGCCCTTCCAGAGAGGACCGTGGGACAAAGAATCCGGCCAGAGTCCCAGTAACCCTCGCACACAGGTGCTAATTATCGACTCTTATCAACATGAAATAACTGCAGCCTCCAGAAACAATCTTTAAATGTGAACATTAAGCTAAGAACAGTTCTGGACTGAACATTATGTCATCTTACCATACATTACCCTTTCCTGAAGTGCAATAATTTTGAAGAAAAAACATATGCAACACACAGGTCAACTTGGTGACAGCCTGGATGGATGGCAGTTCCATCTACGGCCCCTCCACGTCCTGGTCTGACTCCCTGAGAAGTTTCTCCGGAGGGCTCTTGACTTCAGGCTCTGAGTGGAACATGCCAAATCAGGCAACAGGTCACACTTCCATGTGGAGCGCCGCTGACCCTTCCACAGGAGATCATGGATCCAATGGCCTTCATTGTGAGACTTTTTTATACTTTATACTTCAGATCTGACCTGCATCAAACACTATTCACAAATAATTCATTTTATTGTCCCGTACCAGACAGGGTTATATCATCATTAGCATTTTATAAACACAGACACAGTTCCACCTTTATTGGAGAAATGTTGGCTGGGTCTCAACTGAAAACACTGGAGCTCAGTGGCATTTATTTTATGGACTTTAAAGCCCAAAAACTAAATATAACTAAATATATATAGTAGAATTATACAATTGTTCACAATAATTCATGAGCTCTGTGAACATTTCACCTCCTTCAAACACCAATTATCAGTGAAAGGCGGTATGTGGAACCTGATGCTGCTATGTAACTTCTCAATGTTTTGAGCATCATGTACTAGTTAATCTCCACATCTCTGTGATGATCATCTGGATGCATAGATTTCACTCAAGGTACGCTGATATATGTTTTAGAGTGCGTTTGGCTGAACTCAATTGTAACAATCTGGTATCTGTTTTTATTCTGCGTGTGGCAATCGATACTGCAAGTTGCTGAAAACAAGCAGCAAGAATTTCTTGCAAATATTATTTCACCCACGTCGGCTTGCATCAAGGTTGCAGCCTGCAAGTCTGAGTCAAAAGAGGCCCCGCCTGACGTGTGTTATGACTCTTTAATTATTGTGTAAATGTATTGTCACACTCACCACAGTAAATCCCTCTCTCTATAGCGCAGAGGATGCCATACAGGTGTCATGAAACCAGTGTTTTGTTGCTTGGTTTGTTAAAGGTGTGTAGTTATTATCTGGGGCAGAGGCGACGGATCTTCTCAGCTCTGTTGTCACGTCCTCAAAAAAACAAACAACCAAATTATCATTCCATTAGCGGTCAGATATACTCATCAATCAATGCAATTATAATGTGACACTATACAGATAAGATGCACCATATTTCTGAATTTTGGGGTAGTTTTCCACATTAAAACGCTACACATACAGCCCATTCTCTGTTAATTGTGTGTTGTTATGTTGATTCACATGACGAAATAGCAGAATTACCAATAATATTTGCCATTTTCTCTGTCTAGTATTGGGAAATGCCTGGGCCAATGAGAACATGTTCACGGCAGCAGAGGGGATTATCTGGTTTCGCTACCACAATTATGTAGCCTCCAAACTGCATGAGGAACACCCAGAGTGGTCAGACGAAAAGCTGTTTCAAAACGCCAGGAAGACCGTTGTGGCCACATTCCAGGTAGAAGGAAAAGTCTCCAAGTAATCCCTCCACTGCACAGGTGCTGATTTAATTTGCACTCTGGACAGAACGAGGTTGCATCAACACCAGGTGGTCGTGATTTTATGGATGAAATTGATGGTTTTAGTTTAATGGTGGATGCATCATCTCTTACTTGCTTGATTAGTCGAGTCTGTCCTCTGCAAGAGCTGTCTTCAACAACATTACACACTTGTTAATTACTTTTTTCTAGTTAACAAAACTATTTAAAATCAAAGGTTTTGGGTTATATCAAATCAAAAATAAGCAAGCAACAAACATAAAATCACTTTTTTCTATATTTCTTTTATATATAGAAACTATTTTTCAAACTCCACTTGCAGGATATATTGTCACCTCATGCAATAAGTTCAGTTTTAGTTTGGATTCAAACAAGCTACAATAACTTTTATCCCTATTTTTCCACACAGAATATTGCTCTCTACGAATGGCTGCCTGGATATCTTGGAGACAAAAAGCTTCCTCCTTATCCAGGTAAGACTCATCCAGAGTGCGTGTGCGTACAAGTTGAGGGGGAGAGGTAATGCACTGGTGCCCACAAGCCGTGGTGAGGTGAGCTATCGTTGGTGGTGTTTGACAAATATGTGCTCCGTCAGCAAAGCATCACCCTGAGTGTCTTTACTTCTGCTGAATAAGCACCCACAGCTGAAGAAAGTTAAAGGGACTATGGTCAGATGAGCCCGTCACCTCAATCACTCTTCATTTTCATTACTATACTGCTCTATTTGCCTCACTTTGTCCATTTGGATGATGATAAACTGCATGGCATGAAGATTGTTTCTAATTCGGCTTCATTTTATTCTTCTTCTATTGTTTTGTATTATATTTCCATCATTTCTCTGTATACAGGTTACCAGAAGTTTGTGGATCCAGGGATCTCTCCTGAGTTTCAGGCTGCTGCCATACGATTTGGCATCACTATGGCCCCACCTGGTGTTTACATGAGGTATTCTTTCGGCTAACTATGTTTATGGGGACTTTAGTTCAATGTAGTATTATCACATGCTGCTGTGAATAGTATCAGATACTATCTAAAACAGATTATGTACTGTATTAGAAATAAAAGCCTTCACACTGGCTCTCCTCTTTCCCACAGAAACAGAACCTGCCATTTTCGGAAGATTGTCAACATAGATGGCAGCTTATCGCCAGCAATGCGTCTTTGTAACAGCTTTTGGAAACGTCAGGTATAATTTGAT